TTTAGACAAGAACACTGGGAACTGAAATGGGTCGACGTGTTTAGACAAGGACGCTAGGAACTGAAATGGGTCGACGTGTTTAGACAAGAACACTGGGAACTGAAATGGGTCGACGTGTTTAGACAAGAACACTGGGAACTGAAATGGGTCGACCTAAGAAAGCAAATGAATTGCTTAATGCTTTTTATCATGATTTTCCTCTTAAAACAATTGAGAAGTCATAAACATGTAACAATATGAAAAACCGGATTTAAACAAGAGTCAGAACAGTTAAATTAGCATTCGGGTATTTAAAAGTAAAAACCTAAACATTAAGAATTACATTTTTGGAGATTTTAAGTAAAGAAAGTACCACAAGAATTAGTACAACCGAAATTAAAGAAGGACCATGAAAACCTTTCATCAGGTACAAACTGAGTAAAGACCACAAACACAATTATCTTTACGTAGAAATGAAATAAAAAACGAATCCTACAGGATTAGTTTAATATATAATCAAAAACAATTACCTTCAGTAAAATGTGAATTTTATAAATCTAGCCAGATTTATCTGTCATCAAACTGATATCACATAAGAAAATATTATAATCATAGTATCATCATGCAGAAATGAAGTAACGAGAGGAATCAATTTTACTAACAAATGAAATCAAAGAAGAGCAGTGAACATGTAAAAACTAAATAATGAATGAATTGCATAGGATTGGTATTATTTGTAGCCAGCGATCAAAGGAGAACAATGATTCACTGAGCAGAACCCAAGTAAAGAAGAAACCCCAAGGTGCAAGTAGACAGAGAAGGACTGGAGACATCAATCCGTTTCTGTGCTAGTAAAACACTTCTCCATATTGCTTCTGATATCATCTCTCTTAACACTTTTCAAAACCATGTATTATTGCAGAAAGTTACCTTACCTCTTTTGTGACAGAATCAATAAGTCGAAGGTAAATATCCTGCTCCTGTCGAACACCTAGATGGTGGATAAAAACATTTATTAGTATTACAGATATTTTTAGTTTATATTTACATAGGAAACTTAAAACATTGAGCTATACTGATTAGTTGAACGATGGTTTTATGTATGTATTTTTACGATTTACTGTCATTGCAATAGGAAATTTTTATCATATATGTTAGCCCTAATTTGTTCCTTTACAAATAATAATGCATGTACTGATGAAGTAGTTTCATCTGACGGAGTATAGAATAATTTTTGTTTTAAGGAGTAGTAATGGCAACAAAATAAGTTAATCTTGCAGAATTTATTTTTTTATTATTAAAGTACTAGTGGTGGTGAAAGCTTACAAGCAGTTTTATTAGGTCGTGTAAACTTTCCAATATAGAACCTTTAGAATTTTTTTCAATGCACTCATTACTTCTACATAATAAGAAACTTCTATCATTTTCTTAACGCCAGATAATGCATTGTTCATATGCTTGCTTATATGTTACTGATTTTTAGAACTTCCTTACTTCTATACTTTTCCGAGTCTCTTCCACGTCAGAAGTTAGGGCTCCATCCACGCGAAATGCAGCTAGAGGATACCAAACGTATGTCAAAGTCGATGACGTCATAGTTCCAAGAAGTTAAACTTCGGGGCGCGTTGCTAGGCCGCCATGATGGGCAGACATGACGTAATAGTTCCGTGACATGGAACCACAATCATGATGAGATCATAACACATGTTTCAACTTGATCATTTATATGCAAATAATTTATCATCCTGAAAAGGATGCTTATTTAAATATTTAAATAATATAAAATAAAAACTTACTGTTTCATTAGTTTTTCTTTATAACTAATTACTAAGAGTAGTGTTTCTATAAATGGCGGATGATGAGCTCATTGTCTCAACATGCTAACAATGTCTAGATTTAATTACATATAAATCTATTATTGAGTTAACATAATAAAAAGTTCTTGACTCAATGTTTCTTTTTAACATTTTTGTTTGCCTAAATTAAGTAACACTTTCGTTTCTACACACCAGAAATTCTATTTTCGTACCTTTCATTTAAACTTATTAGTTCCCAAATGAACATAATGACTTTTAATTATAAATCAAGTGATTATTTCAATGATTTTCAGTAACATGAATTATACAGTTCAGTGTTCTTATGTAAAATTCACGTTTAGTCATAGCTCAATATACCATCATACATACTTAAAAAAACATTAGGCACTATAAATATCATAGTTTATAATTTTATTGGATTACCTTTCATACAAATTATGTTCATTCGAGCTCAGCATATAGGATTTTATATAATTTTTAAACAATAGTGAACAATTCTTGAACTTTGAAACAAAAAAAAAAGTATTATACACTCCAGTCAGTGTCGTTAAACATTGTTAGGAATTACAAAGGTCATCACGTGGCCAGCCTCCTCTTAACGTGCTTACACACAAATACGAACTCAGTTTCTAAACGTAAAACAACATAATTGACAACAATCAGCTTATAATAAATTTTCAACATCTTAAATGTATGAGATTTCATTATACAATGAATGGTAACAGTCTAATACATAACAAACAATATAGTTTTCATTTCAATTATCTCATGTTGTATTTTCCAAAACTAAAATATACTTGGAACAGTGTTATGGTAACACCTAAAAATCAGTGCATTTAACATGCATGACATACATTGTTTTGTTTTTTCTGTTTCTAGAATTTGATACGCTAACCTAATCTTACATGATCCTACAACTCAGTTTATTAAGGTTATTAAGCTTAAAGAACTCCAAAACAGTCAAATAACAAAGAGATCTTTCAGTATTTGATATCCAGACAAGCTTTTCCTGGTAGATTTTATCTCCTACCCAAAATACACAAACCAAACAATCCTGGCCTACCCATAATTTCTAATATAAACATACCTACTGAAATGTTTCCACTTTTGTTGACCAACGCATAAAATGTATTCCATGTACCATCCTCTCTTACATAAAGGATACTACTCACTTTCTTAACATCATAGAATATATTAATACTAACGGACAGTTACCACCCAACAGTCTTCTTTGCACAATGGATGTTTCTTCCCTTTACACCAATATTCCACACGATGAAGGACAACAAACTCTAAAGTCTGCATTAAATCTTTCGAAACACCCAGAATCTCAAACAGTAAATGATCTTGCCAGCCTGGGTTTAACTCTGAACAACTTCGAATTCAATAACGAGCATTACATTCAGGTTAACGGTACTCCAATTGGTACCAAAATGGCTTCCAATTATGCCAATATTTATATGGGTCATATTGAAAACCAGCTTTTACAACTAAGCCCTGTAAAACCTCATATATGGAAACGTTACATAGACGACATATTTTTTATTTGGACAGCCGGTCTTAAATCACTTAAAGAATTTATCTTACATGCAAACTCCTTTCACAAAATAATCAAGTTTACCAGTGATTACTCACCTACTCAGATTAACTTTCTTGACGTCACTGTTTTTCTAAAATACGGAATTTTACACACTGACTTGTACAAAAAAACCTACAGACAGCCCACAATACCTTCACTATAAAAGCTGTCACCCCTCTCACACTAAACGAAACATTACCTACAGTCAAGCTCTTATAATAAAGAAAATATGCTCAGATGAAACAGACTACAGAAAACACACCAATGATCTAAAACAAACCATGTTACAAAGACGATATAAAGATACCGAAATCGACAGACAAATTGAAAAAGCTAACAACACTCAGCGGAAAAACATCCTAAAACAGAACAATACTAAACTTTCAAATAGAATTACTCTTATTATTACCTATCACTTTAAACTCAGAAACGTTTCGCGAATTCTGAAAAAAACATTTTCATCTTCTACTACTGAATGATTGCCTTCAACAGATATATCCTGAAGTTCCCGTTGTCTCCTTCCGAAAAGGCAGAACTCTAAAAGATATCCTTATTCACACAAAAGTGAATTACATCCCACCCAAAAATGTTTGTCGTCCATGTAATAAAGCTCATTGTCAAACCTGCAAGTTCATAAAAAACCACTGACTCATTTTCTGACAAGCACAATCAAAGAAACTTTAAAATATCCAAAGAAATCACTTGTGAAACAAAAACACCATTTTCCTTAAACAATGCAATTACCAATATGTAGGACATACACTAACAACTCTTAGAGACCGTTTTAACAACCATACATCTTCTATTAACACCAAAAAAGATCTCCCTGTTGCTCAACACTTTAACCAACCCGGTCATTACATTAATG